TTTTGTTTAATTTGATGAATATATAATATTAATGATGTGCTCGAATGCTTTCTACAAAATTTCTGTTTTTTCATAATTCTTTTTGTGCTTTCTATTTTTTTATATTTTTATTATTTAATTATGATACTAACTATTAAGGATTGTTGCATTTGTCACGAAAGATTAAATTCTTGACCATCTACCAAATAGGAAAAACAATTTTCTTAAAATCAATTCTTGTTTATCATACTTATTTTTATTTAATATGATTAATATAAAACATTAGTGAATTTATGTATTTTTTGTTTTATCTTTTTTTAATATTTATTTAATCATGACATCAAGGGGTTGATGGTTGACACATTTAACCCAAAAGGTTGAACTATTAACTCATCTCCAAATATGAAAGGCAATTTCATTTTTGGTCTAATTTTAAATTTTGTATTTCATTTCCAACATCAGTAAAAGTGATTATTGTATAGTAGACATATTTTTCTTTAATATGATTAATATACGATATTAGGGATGTGACCAATTTTTTCATCTTTTTTTTTTATTTTTTGTATTTGTTTCCATTTTAAAAGCTTTATTCTTTAATTACGACATCATGGCTTGACCCATTTGACTTGGATAGTTGAATTACTTACCCATCGCCAAGATAGAAGAATGACATCATTTTTTTGGTTGGTTTTAAACATGGGTTTTAAATTTCTAAAAGTATTGGATATAGATCTAATTGATAGAATTTATTTGAAACATAAAAATGTTTGAATTTATTAGTGAAAGAATAGCTTAAATATAGGATTTAGTGAGAGATAATGAGAATTAATTTTTCTTGTTATGAATTTTTTTTAGAAGAAATATCAATTCATTAAGAGGAAAAGTACAACCAAAGGTTGTACAATAAAAGTAATGAAAGATGCCACATTTGAAACATGGTTGGTTTTATTTTTATGATGTGAAAGTTGTTTTTATTTTCAAAAATAAAACCAATCATGTTTCTCAGCACCCATAAATTTTATTTTGTGCTAGTCTTATCTTAAAACCTCTTGTTTTTTGAGGTATTTGTCCATAAATCTGATTCTTCTTTTATTAATGCTTCTTTAATATCATAGATTAATATTATATCATGTTTGAGATTTTGAGGAGTATACATTAATTACACTTTTTTTTTTGTTCAAACATAGTTAGGTACGAGAGGTATTAATAATTATCATTATAAAAAGGGTAAATAGCTTAAACAGTTAAACCTCTCCTGTGTTTTTCTGATATATGCTTTAACTTCCACTGTACTTTGACCTCAAATTCCTCTCATGAGCTTTCAAACAAATTATACAAACAAACCCTTCCATTAGATGGTGATGTAATTCTTTTGAACACATTTAATATTTCCGGTGTTACAATATTGGAGTATCTGTTGACCAAAATACTCCCACTAAAGGTTATTTTACAAATATAAAATGTAAAGGCTTTACCCCCAAAATATGTAAAAAAGGTATTTTGATTAATAGACACTCTGATTAGGGATGGCAATTTTCCCCATTTCCTCGATCTTCATGGGGATCCGCCCCGAATGGGGCGGGGATGGGGATGGGATGGGGATGTGGAAATTTTCATCCCCGTTAGCGGGGACGGGGTGGGGACGGGGAGAGCACTATCCCCACTAATATATATGTATATATGTATGTATACGTTATATATGTATACATACGTTTATATATTAATGTTTTAAAAATATGGTTGAATATGTTTAAATCTTTTTTAATAAATTGTAAATTTTAATTATTTTATTTTATTTTTAAATAAAATAACAAAAAACAAAAACAAAATTATTAACATTATAAAAAATTACGGGGAATGGGGATCCCCGTGGGGATGGGGATTTTCGCGGCTGCCCCGTTGCCATTCTTAACTCCGATATTGAAACCCCTGGGCAAACTAAAATTTTTAGTGTTTAAAAGCACAACATCATCATTTTCATATAGATTCTTAACATGAAATTGGTTATTGTGTACGAGTTGAGATCTTCTGCCAATAAAACACGTTCCAACCCTCTACCAACTTCATCGATCTAACATCTCACATCTCACCATGAGATTGGGACCCACAATGTATGAGATGTGCAGTGAGAGATCATATTGGTAGAGGGTTGGAACGTGTTTTATTGACAGGTGATCTGAACTCATTGTGTACCACTAAACACTCTCCAAATTAGGGCTTGTTTGGCAAGTCTTTTTGGGAAGATCTTCTGGTAGTTCTGACAGTCAAAAGATGCATTGAGCTTTTGCATAAAGATCTGAACAGCCCGAAGCTAGTTTGACAGATGCGCGTCTTTTCGCGCAAGAATAAAACGCAAAAGACGCGAAAAGCTTCATTTGGAGCTTCCTAAAATCAGCTCAAAATGGGCTTCTCGCATCTTTTCGGCACTCCGACTTTTGGCGGCTAGATCTTCCACAAGCCAAACAGAAATAGATCGAAAAGTGGTATGCCCAGCTTGTAAACATTCGAAAGACCACGTAGAAAGGTATGCTAAATGGGCCCTTAGTTATCGAAAATCTTCTTAATGCATGGGACGAGAAAAGAGTCCTTATTTGCTTGTGTATGAATCCATCACACAAGTGTGTGAGCACTGAGCAATGAACCTGGATCTACTTCTCCACCATTTTGTATAAGGGATTATGTAATCAATCATAAGTGAATATGTCAGAGTTTCCTACACACGACACCTATACTACTCCGTTCATTCGTAATTGGTTAGGCATATTTCGAGTGGTGTGATCCATCACCCAAGGTTTTTAAAATTAAATCAGATAACGAACCAGTCAGGGGTCCAGTTCTTAGGTCGAACGGTCTAATTATTTGAATTGAATGGATAGCTCATTCTGACAAAAAAATTTAAAAAAATTAAAAGAGACCAAAACTGTTGAATGGTTCAAATGGTTTGATCATCTGGATCAGCGATTTTCTGACCAAATCAACGATTTTTGGCAAAATAACGGTTCTAGGGTAAAACTAAACCAGTAACCTGACTAGTTCCCATTTTCTGATTTGACCATTCAGTCCGGCCCAGTTTTGAAAACCATACCATCACCATTGAACACACTTGGCCATCATGCATATGAAATGCTGACGTGTTCACACGTGATTTGTTGCATAGCCTGTTCCACACGCCTATGTTCGCGTGTGTTTTTTGACTTTTTCCTTGTCATTAAACACTAACCATTGGCGTAACCCGACAATTGGGAGTTTTGGTTGATGTCCCCATGGCTAAGAATCCACGAACAGGAGAGGGATGGTTTAGGCGAGTCCATCTCCTATACATCGATCATGTCCATCTCCTATACGTCCTTTCATCTTATTTTTAATATATTAAAATGTACATTGAATTTTAAATCAAAAAAATAGGAGATAAAGGTTTAAAGGCTTTCTTCTTGAGAATATTTAATGCCATCAACAGGGAAAGACTAGCTAAATCACACCGGAAATATTACTATAAGGCTCTGACTTTCAATTAAGGATCTCTCTACTTTTTTTATTATGTTCCCTTTTCCGTTCGGAATCAACTGATAATGTTTTACACTAAACCGGAAAGTGATCGTTGCTTTTTTGAAAATAGTGATGGGTGGAAGAGCATAAAGTTTTACATCGATAAAATAAAATAAATGTAGTTTTTACATCGATTATCAATGTAAAACTTTAGAGTTGATGAGGTTTCACGTCGACTATTAACGTAAAACCACACTATTTAAACACACGCAAAACTGTACTGAACTGTAATTTTTACGTCGATAATAATTACACCCTTTCCAAATGCATACAAAACCGAACCAATGTAAAAATTATATCAGTTCTTAATTTACATCGCATCCAAATGCAGTAGAATTTGTCTTCAGGATGTGGAAATTATGAAAGAGGAGGAGTAATTTAGGTTTTGTAATATATCTGAATCAACTCAAAAAATTGGGAGTTTAAGTGAGTGTAAATTAATTATTGTTGAACACTTTTCCATTGTCAATTATTGTTCAAGGTTTGAAAATTGTTTATGATGTCAAAAGTTAAATCTAGAAAGAAAAATGGTGGGGATCCTCGTAACAAGAACTTGAGGTGCGGAACATGGCCCTTTTATCTCTACAAAAATTCTTCAAAGGGTTTGATTTCGAACTCCGATGGTAGACCCAAATCTACTGGAAAAGCCCATATCCCTAACGTAAAGCCAAAACCTAGGTTCCTCAAGGAAGACTTGTTTTATAAGAACAAAGGACTCGTAGAAGGACAAGAAGTCTCCATGGGATTGGTAGGCCTTGAAAGCTTTATCACACATTCAGAATTGTAGATGCAGTTCATCTCTGTAAATGCATAGGGTTGTTGCTAAATTTCAATAAAATCAGTATATACATTCTCTACAAGACATGGGAGATTGGGTTAAAGACACACAGTTGGGTTTTCGAAGGGACCATACATTGACACACAAGATTCTGTCTATAGTAGCCGTAAAGGGCCTCACCATTCGAACAAATATTAATCGCCGCATTTTTTGCTTCATGCTTCCGTCCATGACTTGGTGGTATATAGTGCTCAGGTATGCAGTTTTCTGTTGGTTCGTTGGTTCGTTTCATCTTGAAGAAAAACCCTTATCTCCTATTTTTATTGTTGTATATTTAATTCTCAAGCATTCCGTTCCAAATCAATGGTATGCCATGTTCAGACACGCGGAGAAAAAAGCTTTCGAAGAGAAAATTTAATAAGGAAAAAGAATAGAATGGGTGGACGTTTGGAACCGTTAATTCCATTCGCATGATTCGTTCATGTTACGGTACTGACGTGGCACCCTCTGAGTTGATCTACCGAAAAGATGTGCAGAAGATTCGGCAGGTTTTTCGTCGAACGTGTAGTGAGTGCTGATGGAGTTGATGGATACGCTGGCTGCTGACGAACTTACTCGGCGTTCCATCTTCTCTCCCTCTCTTTCCTTTCTTCTCCATCTCTACTTTTCCCTCTCTCTTTCCACCTCCGCATGCTTACTCCGCATCCATGCAAAAACCCTTATTCCACCGTCGACCGCGTCCTGTTCGTTGTACTCGGACCCCACGTGGGTGACTCTGCGATCCATCCCTGCTTCTGGATCCTTGGGAAGAACCAGGTATTCGCCAAATCTAAACTGCATTGCAGTCAAAAGAGTCTTAATTGTGAGCATAGGTTAGGGGTTGTTCTTCATCTTTCTTAATGATTCTCCGTTAAGTCTGCCTATTCTGTTAAATGTTATTGCCTTGTATATTTTTCTCTGTAAACCGTTGGTGGATATGGATGATAGGTCGCGCGTCCACTTGATGAAGTGTGCCGCTATTGGTTGTGCCGTGACGATTTGTTTGATTACCGTTTCGTTTTGGTTTTTGTTTCTGGGCGGAGACAATGGGGATAGGATTTTTCAATTGAGGCCGCTAGCGGGAATTCACAAGGAGAAGGGACAGCTACGAGAATGGTGGCATGAATAATGACTCGCGGAAGAGTAGGCTGCATTTGCAAAATGGGAGGCCATCGGTAGAAGCAATATATGTATATGCTACTTCAGTGGTGATGCGATCAGTGGCCTTCATGAATAGTGGTGTTTCTGGTAAGCTCAAAAATCCTATTAGATTACTCATTTTTAATATTCTTGATACCAATTGCCAGTTCGAAGTTGAATAACTTCTTGATACCATTGCGTAAGATGTTTTATTTCTTTTTCTTCTATCATTACTGATGAGGGCAGATTTGGCCCTTCGCTGACATCATGACATGTGGCATCTCATAACAGTTGGACGATACCTACCTCTGCCAAGGGTGATTGACTTGCCTTAGCACCACAAGGGTGATTGACTTGCCTGAGCCAAAATTATAGAAACCCTGCTGCCGACCTACTAGAGACCCAGCTGGCGACCTACCTCTGCCAATCTGGTGACCTCATGCATAACTCGAGCACCTCGGCAAGGCGGCTAGGAGCACCTCGTCCAGGGCTGAATTGTGGTACCTCGGCACGAGGAGCGACCTCCCTCGAGGACTTGTCAACTCAACTGAGGTCCAGGTGGTGACCTACGAGACGTGCTCGCCAACCTCTTCCATGTGTGCATCCCGTCACTCTAGGATCTTCTGGAAGTTAGCTCCCGCAACGAATGTTTCGGAGGAAACCGAATAAGTCACAAAGCCTGGTCTACATGCACAACTACCTCCGAGGACTTCGGACCGGCCAGCCATGTCTTCCTGGAGATCTCGAACGCGGTGCGTGAAGCCTACGACAAACAATGCCTATATAAAGGTCTTATTTCCAATCTCAGAAGGTATGCGCAACTTAGCTCTCGCAACTCTCTAGATCTCTAGCATTTTAGCTCTCTCTAAAATCTCCACATCGCTGACTTAAGCATCGGAGTGCCCACCTCAGGTAAAGCAATTCGGACACTCTGACACTGTCTCTTTGCAGGTCGACCCAGAGAACTAGCTAGCTCAGCATCCGAGCCACCTTCCAATAGGGAACTTGCTAGCTCAACATCCGAGCTGTCCTCCAGCAGGGAGCTGCTAGATCACGCATCATCAATTGGCACCATCTATGGGAAACGCTACACAAAAACTAAGTTCTCACCTGTGTTCTAAGCCTCAAGTAATGGCATTCTCAAGCAACAACATCAACACTTGGATCGAAGGAACCCTTGTAGGGGGCAGAATCAAAATGATCAGCCCGAACAAGTTCCAGCAGCCTTGCCTGAATAGAATCTCCCAGCCCTAACTATGAGGCCGCCCCCATAGGTCAAGCCCTCCATGGTTCCCACGAGAGTTGACGACCAACAGAATGTGAGGTTGCCCCCACAGGTCAAGCCCTCCATGGTTCTAGTGGGAGTTGACGGCCAACAGACTGTGGAGTTGCCCCCGCAGGTCGAGCCCTCCATTGTTCCCGTGGGAGTTGACAGCCAACAAACTATGGAGCCGCCCTACCAACGTCAATTCATTTTAAATTTGCACTTAAAAGCCAGGTTCTCAACTCATTTTAAATTCGCACTCAACGGTAATCAGCTCGGACGAGCCTCGTCAACTCTGTTCATGAGGTCGCCTCTACAGGCCGAGCCCTTCGCGGCTCCCATAGGTGTCGACGGCAAATGGACTCTGCGATCGCCCTTGCGGGTTGAGCCTTTCAAGGATCCCATGCGAGCTGGTGACCTGCAGTTAGTAGAGCCGCCCCCGCAGGTTAAGTTCCCTGCAACTTATCGTAGGAGAAGACGACTAGCGTTTCCGATGGCTGATGTAGTGTAGCCGTGGCACCAATCCGTCGTTCAAGCGCCAACAGTGGCACACGTATCAACATTGCTATCACAAGGGGGGCAGAAACTAAACGAACAGCCTGGGCGAGCTTCAGCGGTTTGGCCCAGATTGTCTCCCAGCCCAATTTCAAAGCCTCACTACTGATCGAGCCCTTCATGGCTCCCGTGAGAGTTGGAAACTAGCTGAATGTGGAACCGGCCTCACAGGTCAAACCTTTCATGGTTCCCTTAAAAGTAGGCGCCCGCAAACAGTAGAGCCACCCCCTCAAGGTGAGCCCCCCATGGCTCCAGTAGGAGTGGGCAGCTAGCAATTCTAGGAGCAGGAGTACATGTGCGACATTGATATGCAAATGTAGACCCGGGAGAGTCAATCCCATGTGATGTCATAGATAAAGCCGCGTTTAAAGCTACTACAGAATGACCATCCGCTTTGGCGACCTGGTCAAATCGAATTCTAAGGGGAAGCCAAACCGCTTTTAGCTAAGGCCCCTACACCGACCTTGAGATAAATCGGCAGGTTGACAGCTCAGTGCCATTTTGACGGCCAAAATTACGACCATCCACTTTGGCGACCTGATCAAATTGAATTAAGGGGAAGCCAAACCGCTTTTAGCTAAGGCCCCCTACACCGACCTTGGGATACTATGGCAGCTCGGCACCGTTTTGGCAGCCAAAATTACGACCATCCGCTTTAGCAGCCTGGTCAAACTGAATTTTAAGGGGAAGCCACCCCACTTTTTAGCTAAGGCCCCCTCAAGCTAACCTAGAAACACATCAGCAACAGGTAAACTGATCTAAGTAGGTCGGCCCTCTATCTATCTAGCTCGGCAATGTTTTGGCTGCTACTACTACACTTAAATCGATCTCAAAGGACGTCGACATCTCACCGCCAATTTGAAAAAAAAAGGAAAGAGAAATGGAGGAAAGGAAGACTAGTTCGCTTTCAACACCGCGACAAACATGCCAACTTGGCCAATTTCTTCACAGCCATCCTCCACCTCGGTTTCAGGCTCCGCATCAACCTTGTCGGATACTCCTTTGAGAACCAACTTGAGGGACATTGCGTTGTAGTCTACGTAAGTGGAGCAAGCTGACGAGGCAGTCACACAGTTAGAAGCCCCTTTTGAGGATGGCATGACGAACTTAGCTCTTGAGGTATTTGGCCAAATTGCAGAACTCCTTGAGGGTTGCATCCCTATTAAGGTATATGTCCTCAGGGTGCTTGCTCCGCCTCTCCTCGAATAGATGAGTTCACTTCTGTGCCCCCATAATCAAGACGGTGAGGCCCTGCATAAGGTTGCATTCAACCCTTTGACTCTTCTGACTTGGGGAGCAAACTGGACCGATGCCTACGAGCTCATCGAACCAATCATTCTGGACCAAAAACCTACAACAGTGCTACTCCCTTCGTCGAACCGGCCTCATCTTGGGAGTGGGGGCAATTGATGAGGGTAGATTCGGCCCTCCGCTGACATCATGACACGTGGCATCTCAGAACAGTTAGACGACGCCCTGACACCACGAGGGCGATAACTTGCCTTAGTCGAAATGATGGAAACCCATCTCCCAATCCCAACCTACTCGAGACCCAGCTGACAACCTACCTTCGCCGACTTGATGGAGTCTTAGCTGTCGACCTCATACACAACTCGAGTACCTCGGCAGGGTGGCTAGGAGCATCTCGTCCAGGGCTGACCTGTGGTACCTCATCGTTACCGGTCCAAGGGACCTCGATGCAAGAAGCAACCTCCCTAGAGGACTTGTTGACTCGACTGAGGTCCAAGTGGTGACCCGCAAGACGTGTTCGCCGACCTCCTCCGTGTGTGCATCCCATCACTCCCGGGTCTTCCGGATGTCAGGTTCCGCACTAAATGTTTTGGAGGAAACCGAATAAGGCACAAAGCCTGGTCTACATGCGCCACTACCTCTGAGGACTTCGGACCGGCCAGCCACGTCTTCCTAGAGATCTCGGACTCTGTGCATGAAGCCCACGCCAAACAACGCCTATATAAAGGTCTCATTTCCAACCTCAGAAGGTATGCATGACTTAGCTCTCATAGCTTTCTAGCTCTCTAGCATTTTAGCTCTCTAAAATCTCCTCATCACTGACTTAAGCATCGGAGTGCCCACCCCGGGTAAAGCAACCCGGGCACTCTGACACTGTCTCTTTGCAGGTCGACCCGACGAACTAGCTGGCTTAGCATCCGAACCACCTTCCAGCAAGGAACTCGCTAGCTCGGCGTCTAAGCTGTCCTCCAGCAGGGAGCTGCCAGATTGTGCATCATCAATTACCGAGATCAAAAGAGTCTGATTAATAGAATAGTCATCTTTAGCTACATTGAGCAAGGTAGAACACCTTCCCCAAAAGGTTAGACTGACAACACTCATTAAGTAAGAGAACAGTCATCTCAGCCCAAGTAGAGTCGCCCAAGCCAGTTAGGCCTAACAACAATAATAAAGTATGCCCGCGGGGATAAAATTTGTCCTCCACCCCCAATCCCCAATGGGGATGGGTTCCCCGCGGGAACCCGAATCCCCGAAATGTTTTTAGATAATAGTATTTTTTTAAAAAATAAATTTACCTAAAATAAATAAAAATTTTAAATTATAAATAATATTTTAGATATGTTTTGATATATATATATATATTATAAATAATATACATTTAATATAAATAACATTTAAATATATTATCGGGGTTGGAGCGGGGCGGGGACCCCAATCCCCATCCCTGAACCCGACCCCGATCAGGGATTCCTATTAATCCCCGTCCTCATCCCCACCCCGCCAAAACAACCCCCATCCCCGACCCGATGGGATCGGGGAAGTCGGGTCCCTGTCGGGGATGGGGAAAATTGCCATCCCTAGTGCAACTAAAGTGCAAGGCAAAAGACGAGGTAGATGCCTAAACAAAGTGAGGTGTCATTCTTGAAAATTAAATGAAAAGAAATACAAGAACGTGCAAATCTAAATTCTGAAAGAAATAAAATAATTCAAATATCTATTAGCTCAATTGGTTAGAGTATCTCATTATCTTGTAAGTAATATAAAAGTTGTAGCCATGTACGTTCAAGTCCTACTGAAAGTCATACGTATAACCTAAAATATGGTAATTTACATATTCAATATCAAGTTCAAGGTTAACTCATCAAAACCTATCAACTCAGTTGAGGTGTACCCCACAAAATGATTCTTTCTATGAGCCCATGTATGTGCCTCACACCCTTAAAAGTACTGGATCTCCCCTGTTGCATCCTTGAAAACACCCTATCCCTGATGGTCTTGGATTCCCTAAAAAGCATCCATCGAAATTTAGTTTCATGGCTCCTTCTGGAGTAAAATCCTGGTTAGGTACTGGTGTTGTTGTGGATGTGTTTGCTTGTGCAGGAGCCAGGAAGTTGTGTAGAAATCAATTACTGAATTCAAAAAAAAAAGTGTTTAAGGCAGGGGACACAAACTCATCCTTGTAGAGAGAGGGTAATAAGAAGATGCAATAAATTGATAATGTTACTTTAAAAATATTGTGCTTGATGGCCATGATTCAGGCATTGTGATGAGTACCTTTTAGCCAGCTGGACTCCCTTGGTGTGTTAACGTCAGTTGGGCAATGATATCTTACACTTGAAGGGTCTCTTTGGAATGTTTGTGGTTTGCTTCATGGTGATTATTAGTGTATTTTGGTTGGTTCTTGGTTTGGTTCTGCTTGAGGGTGGGCCTTGGCACAATGGTTTGGTTGCTCCATTGCAACCTGGGTGACCAGGGCTCAAATCTTGGAAACAGCCTCTTTGTATGTGCAGGGGTAAGGCTGCGTACATCTGTCCCTCCCTAGACCCCGCATTGGTGGGAGCCTCACGCACTGGGCTGCCCTTGGTTTGGTTCTGCTTCTGTAAGTAATGTTTCAAAGTATCAATACTCTTTTTTTTTTTTCGTTTTTTCACTATGTATTCACAGATAGATATATTAGTAGGTTAATTTGTTAATTCTTAAACCTATTAAAATGCTCTAAGCTTC